GAATAGCACATAATCCTAGAGTGACAGGATTCAGTCCTGGTAGTTTTAAAAAGAACAGGGGGATGTGTGTTAGAGAGAGAGAAGCAGAGGACAATGTAAACTAAACAGCTGATTCAAAGTTAAGGTATTACCATCAGAGATTTCCCTAAAAGTCCTTGAGTGTTCTCTTATAAAATAAGTCTGAATCATTAATCTTTCTGGACCAGGCAGACTTTTAAATTGAATTTCAAATCCAATATTCCGTGAAGAGCACAGAAATAGTAAATAGTCTAGTTTGTCTTTTAATCATTCAGAGACTTAGTAAAAATAACTTTGTTTTCAAGTTGTGCATTCTTCTGCTTTTGTACTTGTCCTATTCTGAGTGGTGGTAGGTCACACTAATAGGGCTTCTGGAAGAAGTCCATACTTTTTACAATCGGTTGAGAAAAAGCTTGAAAATTCATGGGGGGATGATCCTCCACCTGGGTTACTTGTGTCTACCCCAAATGAGACAGCTACTCCATCACTTGTGACCAATTGTATTGAAAACTCTGAACTTTGTCTCAGTAGAATAAAAAGTATATTTATTCATGGGGTACTTTGTGCTAAAGGTTATTATCAAAAGCTAATAAATGAAGTTAAAGCATATATTGCAAAATATAGAGAAAGAGACATTTGTATCTATACAGACTTCCCAGATAACTCTGGCTCTCCTTTTATTCCTAAAGTTCTCCCCCTTATTTTCAAAAACACTGTAGTTAAAGTAAGAAAGTTGTGAAGACAGAAGACCAATTTTAGGCATGCTACAAGCAAATGCAGCTTCTGTTTCTTGGGCGTTATGTTTGCTAACTCCAGAGTGAGTTTAGCTTGTAAGTGGTACTGCTGAAAACTGTGGCAAGCAGAATTTGCATGTTTGCTTTCAAGGCAGCTGTGATAATAGCAGCCTAAATAGTTGCTCTTTCTGGGTCTTCCTTACAAAAATTATTTACTGCATCCACCAGTGAGGGAATTTGACATAATGATGTTGCCTCAGTACAAGCACAATATCCTAAGCTGCTCACAGGTGTTGGATCCAAAGCCTGAAGAAAGTGAAGGTTTCAAAAGAAGATGCACCTTCTCCAGACTGTTGCATAAACTTGATGTGGAGGCCAAGTGGCAGCCCTGACTTGTGAGTTCTGACCTCCTGCCGTCTCTCCCCCAAAGAAGAAACTCCCAGTGTAGCTGTCTGGTGACCTTGCTTGAGCAGCAGGAAAATCCACAGCCACAACACAGATGCGCCAGGAATGTGTCTGACACAGGTTTTCATGACAGCGTGTATGCAATGAGCTCCTGATCAAAGAGTCCTGCTTAGAGTTTAGTGCTTTGCCTCAAATATGTAAAAAATGTCCTAGCTTTAGGTTCATAAAATCATTAAATGGCTTGGGTAGAAAGGGACCTTAAAAATCACCTAGTTCCAGCCCCACTGCCATGGGCAGGGAGAGCTTCTAGTAGACCAGGTTGCTTAGAGCCCCATTAAACATGGCCTTGAGCACTTCCAGGGACAGCACATCCTCAACTTCTCTGGGCAGCCTGTTCCACTGCCTCACCACCCTCACAGTAAGGAGTTTCCTCCTAATATCTAAAGTAAACTTACCCTCTTTCAGTTTGAATTCATTCCCCTTTGTCCTTTGTGCTTTCCAACATGCCCTTGGAAAATGTCCACCTCCATCCTCTTGTAGGCTCCCTTCAGGCACTGGAAGGCCACAGTTAGGTCACCATGAAGCATTCTCTCCAGGCTGAATAATCTCAATTCTCTTCAAGTTCCTATTCTTGAAGTCAAGCTTGCCCTGTAGCTTTCAGACATTGTTAGTGAAGTATCTGAGAGCAGGCAGCTAGACCAAACAGGATGTTGCAAAGCTAGAAATTGTAAATGACATTTGCTTGGCCATCCCTCTTCTTTGGGATTACTTTGGGAGTTGGATTTTTAATTTTTTTTTTAGTGGATGAAAAGTCAATCTTTCTTGCAATACTACTGATACTTTCTGTGTTCTTCCTCTGTTGTGAGACAAAGCTAGAGGCTAAGTTGCTGTCTGGCACTTCCAGGGGCTGTGTTCACATCACATGCAGAAGGTCCAGGCTCTCAATGGCAGGATCCTCTCTATGCATCCCAGACCGCATCAGTCATCTACCTTATACAGTGTGAAAAAATTCCCCACCTAGAAGAAAAAGTACTCAGATAAATGTCTGTTACTTACAACATGCTTTGTTCCCTACAGTGTCTCTTTTTTTGTGGGCTTTTTTACTGCAGAAAATGTGTAACCTGTCCCAGCGCTTAAAATGTACAATTTTAGGGAACAGACAAATCCACTTGAGTTTTAAGTGACAGCACTGGTTTTCTCTAAGTTCTCATCCTGAATTTTAATCTCCAGTGAAACAAAATAGTTAGATTTATTTGGCATGTTTATTAGCAATCAAGCCTACAAATGTGCCCTTCTGGTTGTAGAACTCAGTAGACTCACAGCTTCTTGTAATTGAGACTGCAGCATGACAGAGAGCTCTGTTACGGCTTCACATATTGATCCGTCCAATTTAATTTCCTCATGGGACCTGAACCACGCTAGGGATGGTGGATTGTGTTGAAGGCTTGATAAGCCTGTTTTAACAAAGCATCTCAAGGGCTCTGGAACAGAGGCAATTATCAATACTGATACGCGTTTCCTTTCTTCAAAAGGTAAGGGCTCATTAATAGTCTGCACAACAGCTGCTGTTTGCAACAAATGACTTTTTTATTAATTAACTTTGAGATACTGCTTCCTCACCTGTTCACTTACTAGTTGGCTGTTTCCAAAAGGAGAAGAAATTGGGTTCCAGGTTTTGATCTTACTGGTATATGTGATAGCGGTATCTTCTGCACTGCTATATTCACTATTTTGGTAATTGAAGCCTAGATTATATCTTAGAGTAATAGTCCCATCCCACTGCTTCTGCCCATGTCTGAACAACCCACGCCAACAAATTCTGGTGTTTTACAACTTTTGAATTTTGTGTCAAGTTACTGATGATGTCTGCTATTTTTAATGTTAGCATTACTGGTTAAATAGTCTCCTGTTATAGCTTTGGCACTCAGCATTTTTGTTTGTCCCTAATATTTCAAAAATGGTTTTAAATTGTCATTCTTTATACTCTCAGTTATGGGAAGGAAGCTCATTGTTACTTCCTATTGTTTTGTCTTTACTATGCAAAAATCCTAACATTTCATTTATAATCTGTTTGGTGTAGGTGTGTTGTGGGTGTTAAATTCATACTGCTCTTTAATGCTGCAAATTGGATGTACGGAAAGAAAACATCATGAAGGCAAACTGCTTTGTTAAACCTGATTTTAAACACAGTTTTTGGATGACTAGCTGGAAGTTTAGTGCCTTACAGAACGGTCATCCTTAGCTAATAGCAGTTGCTTTTGTTTTGTTTATTCACCAGGAAACAATTTAAACCATTTAATAGCTGCTACAGTGTTTTCTGTTTTCTTTTCCATTTCACACTCATTTTCTCAATAATTAGCACAGTTCTGCTCGTTAATGCATGAATTGAAAGTAGCAGCAATATGTTGCAAGGAAATTGGAAAAAATCTTTGTTTCTAAGCGTAGATGAGTGTGGGTAAGTGAAACATACTAAAATTTGGAAAAGTAGCTGGGTTGCACCAAATGCAGTTGACCAATGAGCCAAAGTCTGTAATGTGCTCAAAATGTTATTTTGCGTGTTTACTGCATCATGGTAAGTGGCACCTTTACCTGCTTTTTCTTCTTTTCTTGATGTCTGAACTTTTAGAATAATTTTTTCAAGGAAAGTTGCTGTTCTCATAATAATAAAGAAATATTTAGCACTGGTAGCTGTTGCCTAAAATTGCAAGTCAAATGTCTCTTAGGAAATCAAAAATAGGAAATTTGATGAAAAAATATACATTTAGCTCTCTGTCTATCCTGGAATTCTTTTTAAATTGTGAGTCATTTTCAACCATTACTGGAGTTCGTGGTACTGGAGGCCCCATGAGTGTTTAATAGGAGGTGGCTGCTACCATCACTGTCCCCCAGGCTGCTGTTTACTGTCAGTTCTCTTCCCTGGTTAGTCATGACTGAAATGTGTAGATGAGTGGGTTATTGTAAAATGCCTTCAGCAATGATTAATTCAGATTAATCACCTAATTTTGCAAACACCAGAGCACTGAAAGAACAGTAATGGTGTGAGAAATCCCCTAAACTTACCCAATATTAAATATATTCTGGATTTAGTTCTGCAGACATAGAGATGGGGCCAATTCAGACATTCCTAGTGATGCAATGGAGCCAACAAGGAGCTCCTTTGATTTCAGGGGCCTATAGTCATTAATAAAACTGTGCTATTCAGAGTAGTAGGTTGAATATCACAGATTAGCAGGATTAAGAGCTGTTTCAACATAATTTATTTAAGCCTTTGCTTACTTCCTTAATTCTCCACCCATGTTCCTCTTGTTGGGGTCTGTTACATGCCACAACCACTGCAGATACCTGCTCAAACCATTGCACAGGGCAGGAGGAGCAGAGCAGAATCTGCTTTTTAGGCAGAGGTTTTAATTGTGTTCATATTTTAAAGATCATTACTGCAATATGGGGTTTTTGCTATGGAATAGAAATTTAGAAATGAACTATTTTTAGGAACATAGAGTGCTGGAAAAAAAAAGGATTATTTGATTCTAAAGTGGAAGGAAATTATGTAAACATTATAACACATGGGAATGTTCCCTATTCTTGGGACATGCATTACATAAATATTTCTTCATATGACTGAAATATTAATCTTCCTATGACTGAATATGTTAATTAAAGTCATAAATATTGGGACAGTAACAATGTTTATCATTGTTTTTAAACCTTAATGGTATGTTTCATTATGCCTCTCACTAATTTTGGAAACTGAGGCCATGAAATGTGAAGTCATTTTCTCTTTTAATAATGTAAATTATCTTGTATTACGTAATGCCATTTCTTATTTTATCCTTAAATCTCTAGGTGCTGAAGTGTTGTATATGAACATGTCAGCATATAATGAAGGTCGGCTTCAGTCTTCGTTCTGGATTGTTGATAAGCAGCATGTATACATTGGAAGTGCCAGCCTGGACTGGAGATCGTTGGGACAGGTAATTTAATTGAAAATCTAATCCTATAACCTTTGAGTGTATAATGAAAAAAAAAAAAAAAAGTAGTGTTTTGAGGACACTTGGATAGCTCTGTTTTCTGATAGTTTGCTGGCAAAAGTGCTGGCATAAAAAACTGTACTGCCACAGTTCTGATTACTCTTCTGTATTGGCAACAATGTACTACTATAAATTTTGCTTCCTTTCGTTATAACAGCTGTCTTCCATGGTTACGCTTAAATTTTAAATATTTGATTGTTTTTATTGAGTTCTGTGATGGTCATTGATTGTTCCAGTTTACTTATTAAAAAAAGGGGGAGCAAACCCATTGGTAAACAAACCACTATGGAAACTCTATAGTAATATCATGGGCAAGTCGTAGTTCCTCTGATTTGCCATTTAAAAAAGCAAACCCCAAATTTGGAAAGACTTCCAAAAGGATAGTGGGTATTATACTGGAATACCCACTACCTTTGGGGAGGGTCAGATTTGTGGGTACAGAAAGTCAAACAGCATAATGCTTTTGAAGGCTGAATGCATTAGAGAGAATTCCACATTTTTATTCCTCATAAACATGACAGTTGAAGCAGTGCTAAGAACTCTGTGCAGTCTGTGACCATTTTGAGGAATTTGTCAGTAACATATCTTATTTGCCTTTTTGTAGGTATGTGTGCCTTTTTTTATTTCTGTAGCAGTCTCAGGATTATTAGTGGCTGTCATGTTCATTTTTGCTACATACCACTGACTGTGTGAGGCTGCTTTCAGCCACACCTATGGAGTGAAACTTGTACTTTGAGATCTCAGTAACTGTAAAGCACAACAGAGAGGGAAAAGCAGCAGTCCTAGGTAGTTATTAGTTGCTATAAAAAGCTTGCTTTCTAAATATGAGCAGAATCTCAGAAACACAAGAGTAACTTTGAACGTGATGATGTTCTAATGATTTTGTAAACAAGAACGTGTGTCTTGGTTGTGCTGAACTTTTTAATATTTGTTTTCAGCTAGGACTGGAAGTCTGACTAAAAGCAAATTAGCCAATTTAGTACAGAAAGTGAACAAATGCATATTTGTTCTTCTTACTATATTAATTTACTTAAAAGGTATGCTTACAAAGGAATCTGGAACAGTGGTAGAAAAAACAATGCTGTTAGAGAAAGTCTTGGAAAAGAGAATGTTGTATTTTCAGTCAATGCAAGAAAATACAGTTTGGGCTTTTGGACAGTTCAGAAAATGTTTTTACATTATCTCTGCCTCATGAGCTAAACTCTTCTGTCATAACAAAATAGCTCTTCATAGGATTTATTTGGCTTATAAATAGCTTGTCTTTGAAGCCTCTTCTATTTGGGGGTTTGAGTACCAGTGAAAATAATGAATGTGGGGAAAAGAAGCACATTTACCGCACAGATTATTAGATTATTTATATATTGCTTATGTATTTATGATTTTCATCACAGATTATACTATTCCATATAGGCTTGCTCTTCTCATGCTGAAGTAAATCTTAAATCTTGTAACATACCTGCATTAAACTTTGATGCCAGTTACTTGTAGGCCAGTGTTTCAAAAGTGATGTTAATTTTATCACTCGTTTCTGTGTGCATTTGGACTTGTTTTAATCTTATTGTCATATAACAGTATATTTTTTATATGTAGTTGTAAGATGAAACTCCAAAGATTATTTGTACAATGCAAAAAGAAATCTCTTTGTTACGGAAAAAGCGAATCTGCTTTCAGTTAGTTGAGAAATGTATGTTGCAGTTTCAGAAGAGCCAAAGGAAATTAGATGCTTGGCTCCTGTTGATGCCAGATCTGAGGTCTGATTCCCTTACCCCAGAGCTGCAGGTTAATAAATCAGGGCAACTGTCAAAGACATCTGATATGCTGTCCTAAAATAATAATCTGTCTTGAACTTTCTTTTCCACATAAGAAACAAAATAAGCACAAAACTCTGTAATTTTATTTTGAGTCCTTTCCTCAAGCAAAATGCTTTGCACATGTGTGGGACCTAATCTTAAAACCCACGGTGAGCTGAGCCCTCACTGGGGAAATGTATCTCCCACGGGTTCTCATTATCATAGTCTCAGTATAGCTGCAAATGAGGGATCAGCTCCCTCTCCTTCTCCCTCTCCCTTTCCTCTATTGTCTCTTTGCCTGTTATTAAAAACAACCAAAAAGACAAACCAAGTCTCTTATAGCATCATTTGTCTCTTAGGAGGCTAAATCTAAAGCTGAAACAATAATTTTACTTTTAACAGCTCCTTGGAAAACATCACCAGGACTTAAGTGATTTGGGTTTGCAGTATTTGTGGAGAATTCTGTGTTTATAAGCTGGGTACCAGAAATCAATCACATAGGAAGCTTATTTAGTTTCGTTGCCATTTTCTCGATTTGCCAGCACTGACAAGAAGCAATAAGAGTATTTTCTTAAAAGCAAATTTTCTACATCAAGGAGAGATTTTCATATGCTGCAGACATTACTTAAGAATAGCCTTTAAAGTTGCAGATATCCTGTGCCTCTGCTGGCAAAGTTTTAATACTCACCAGAGTCTCAGCTTTGAAATTATGAGCAAGGCTAAGAGCACATCATTACTTTTCAAGTAAAACTGTGTTTCAGTTAAATTGAAAGTTTAGCAAGACTAGTAATTCTGGCTGAAATCATCTATGCCAGCTATCTGCTTCAGTCTGAAATCAAACCCCCAGGGAAATGTTAAGTACTGTTTAGAGTTCCTGAAGGCAGGATTTTACAAAAATGGGATTTTTTTTTTGTTCATAGTGGAATATTTTGAATTTTTCTTTGTACAAGTCTAGATTTTTTGCATCTTTTTCTATTGTTATCAAAATATCCAAATATTACCCAGTTACATAACCCATTGAAAAGTGATGATTATGAACAATCAGAGCTTTGCCACTTTCTTAGATACAGTAAGCTCTGTAAGATTTTACCAGTGAAATCATCTAGCTTCTTGCTGATAAATTTATGCATACTGAGAAACAACTAAAAAAATGAGTCATTCAAACATGCCTAAAAGTGTGTATGTATACTGATTAATTTTTTCCTGTGGCTTGCACCAATAGCAATCAAGATGGCCATGGTGCTGTATTTTAGTTTCTAATCCTTGACCCAGTAACATATTATTACTTAGTAAAAGAAAATGGTTATATAAAAATGGTTATAATCCATCAGCTAACAAAACTTATCATATATTTCTTTTATTCCATGACTCCCGCCAATAACTGCAGCAAAGCTTGAAAATGCTTATCTCCTTAATTCTGTTATGGAGCATGAAGTTTGTAATAAATATGAGCATTTCTGGAGGTTTTAATACTAGCAACATTTTTGGAAAAGTTTTATTCACACATAAATAATTTAATCCAGTGGGCAAACAACTGTAATGGATTAGTTAAACCACTTCAGAAAAATGCATTTATGTGCAATATATAATCAGCTCTTGGAAAATACTGTTACTGAAAATTCCTGAAAAAAGTAAAATTAATCCTGTTGTCTTCACTGGAAGTGAAATCAGGCTAATATTAGCTAGTCTTGTTGGCAAAAAAAAAAAAAATAGTTTAAATCATGAATATTACCAGTACCGGGTAGTTGAGTGTATGTGTGAAGGTTAGTGATCAAATTCGAGCCTTCAAGGTCTCAAGTAGAAGCTTGCTGTTTGCTCCCTGGAATTGTGGAGTCTGACTGAAAACATCTGGCCTGAAGGGAAGTGCCTTGTCTGGGGTGCCAGGAAGAAATGGTCTTGACACTAAGGAGGGAGACCCAAAGGGAAAAAGGTGAAGTCCCTGACTGGAGGAAAAGTCCTTAAAATGGGAGAGATCCTGGAGATTAGAGAGCTGTGGGTGAGATGGAACCTGGGGGATGCACCAAAACCACTGGCTGGTGATGCCTGAGACAGGTGAGCAGCCATGCAGCAGGGATAGACCCAACTTTCTGCTCAGCATCTGGGGCCAGCAGCCCCTTCCCTGCAGGAACAGAAGATATGGATGGAAAGTGTGAACTATAATCAAGGAGTTGCAAAAGCTCCCATCGTGTTGGTTCTTAAACAAATCCCAATATCCAGATCCACCTTAGGTAGTCGTTTGCTCTCTCTTGCCTGGCATATCTTAAAACCATTATCCCAAAAGTTCCTGCTTAAATTTTGCTCAGCTGTTGTTGAGGCAAAGTTCCTAAGCATGATTTTTTAATCTTAGCTGTGTAAAAACTGCTTGCAGAGGATTTTTGTTTCTAAGACGCCTTTTAATCCCATGTATTTTCTGGATTGTTCATTCTTCTGATCATTTAAATTCAGATAAATTTAAGCTAAATGGCTGCTAGACTTAATTTTTTTAAGTACCAAAAACAATCAGGCTGTAAAAATCACGGGATAAATCACAGGATTTTTTTATCCTTTTAAAGGATAAAAAAATCCAACTAGGCTGGGAAACATACTTCTTTAAAGACAAAAAAATAACCATGTGATCTTTTTCTCATTTTCCTGTTAATTTTGTGTCTCTGTTGGATTATTTGTGTCATTTGTTTCACCAGTATAAGACTTCAGAAAGGCATTTGATTATTCTTAATCTTAAAAATCCATCAGGATTTCCTTGTCATTCAGTTTCCTCTCCATCGTCCTCTTACAAACTGCTAATTTCATCTACATAATTTAAGGCAACTGGGAAATTAGATAAACTGTCCCAACAGTTTTTGTCAGGTTGGAAACAGAGAGTTTAATCTGAGGAGTGGTTTTTATTTGATGCACCTAAGATGGTAAATAAATACCCAAGGGGGCAAAAGTACTGTAGAAGGTGAGATGTGACAGTGTGTGAATGAGAAACTCTCTGTGAACTGTTTTTTCCTTATGGTTGTTAGTATTTAAAACATACTTGTCTCATTAGTATTGAGTCCTGCAGCACATGAAAGTTGTAGCAATTATGAATTTTTCAGTTACATTTGAAGGATAAAGTTGCCCCGTTCATTTATTCTGTTAATAATTCAGTTGAATCAACAGTCAAATTAG